GAAAGAGAAACAGAGGTCTGACCATCCCAGCTGGGCCCAGGTACCATGGCTCCATCATGTAAGTGTGACATCAAATGCTCCAGCCAAATCAGTTCCCCAGATGAGCACAGCCCCAGCTAGCGTCACGTGAAGCAGACCATCCGGCTGATCACAATCAACCCACAGAATCATGAAAGGTAATAAATGCTTACTGTTTTAAGTCACTACATTTCAGGGTAGTCAATGAAGCAGCAATAGCCAACCAGAACAAGAAGTGGTACCTGGAAGGGAGGTGGTTCGTTTTACGTGTCAACTTGCCTAGACCATGGTACCCAAATATTTGTACAAACACATCTGATGTCTCTGTAAAGGTATTTTTAGATGAGATTAACATTTAAATTGATAGACTTTTTTTTTTAGTAAAGCAGGTTACTCTGCATAATATGGATAGACCTTATTTAACCAGCTGAAGGCGTTAGGAAAAAGACTGACATCCCTTCCCCAAAAAGGGAATCGTGCTAGCAAATGGCCTTCAGACTTGAGCTGCAACATCAACTCTTCCCTGGGTCTCCGGCTTGCTTGCCTACCCTGCAGATCTGGAACTTGTCAGCCTCCATGGTCACATGAGCCAACTCCTTAAAGGCAATCAATCTCTCTCTCCTCTCTCTCTCTCTCTCTCTCTCTCTCTCTCTCTGTCACTCTGGAGAACCCTGACTACTACAATCTGGCATTAACATTGGAAACCGGGCAGCAGGCATAAGTAAGGCCTCAAGGATACTGTTCATAAAGGCTGGACAGATACAGAGGAAACTGTTATTAGAGGCTGGGAAAAAGGTGACCCATGTTAATGTCATGGTAGAAAGTTTAGTAACACTGTCACCTGCGCTAATGGAGCTAATAGAAATATACCAAAGAATTTATAAATTTAGCTAAGGATACTTCCAAGCAGAAAGTTGAAAATGCCAACTCATTTCTTTTAGCTGTGTAAGATGAGGTACAGAGAAAAATGAGCTTAAAAAGAACTGTTCATTTTTAAGTAGAATCAGGAGAAAAATATTTGCAAGTCAGGCATTGCTACAGTTGACAATAAAACTGCTTGTCATTTCCCATATTTCATGGTAAAATAATGTCAAAATAAGAAATGATCTCAAGCCAATGACCATATCCCAGGCACTGAGAGTAACACATGTTCACAAAGTCAAGATTTCAAGGGTATGACTGTAAGTCTCTAAGTCATCATGGAGACAGAGAGCGACCCAGCCTGGCCCACATCCCAGGTGGCATCAGCTTTCCAGCTGACCCGTGTAAAGCATCATTCACGTGAGTGATGTCCAATCAGTTTTGGATATTCCAGCTTAGCTGTATGATCCGGTGACTTCATCCCTGGTTAACACCACAAGAAGCAGAAGAACTACTAGTTAAGCCCAATCAATTCAGAGAATCATGTAAAATAATAACATGGTTTATGTTTAAGCCACTATGTTTTAGGCAGATTTATTATGTAGTAATAGATAAGCAAAACCCCGATTATAGACCATGTGAAACTAAAGAATAATAAGGAAGGAAACCTACAATAATTCCGTTATTAACCCAGCGGTGCCACAGTTCACTTTTTTCTTTACATTCAGTTTTACTCTGTGTAGTTACAATTATTATATGTGTGATTTTTATGCTGGTTTTGTTTTGCTTGCTAGTATATAATATATCATATTTTATATTTTATTACATAGTTTAAATAAAGACCCACAGAGGTTAAGGGAACTGGGTTGAAGTAGAAACACCAGGTTAAATAATTGACATAAATTGCTGCTTGGGCCCAACATGAGACCGAGGCAGGAGAGAGTCATCTGGCAAGGTACAGATTTTATAATTTATCAGGGGAGAGATTGTTGGTATCAAGAGGGTATGATTATAAGAGAAATAGTCAGTGTGCAAAACTCTCAACAACGTAGAAAGAAGGAGGAAGTGATTAGTCAGTCACGAACTTGAGGTTGAAGGTCTCAGGGAGCCAATAGAAGTTAAATTTGATACAAGGACTACAGGCAGAGAAACAGAAAACTCCATATGCATAATGTACAATATATAAATAACTCCAACAAAAAGAAATAAATAAGCAGCTCAATCGAAATTAGCAAAGATCTGAACAAGAAATTTACAGAAAAAAATATAAGTGACCAACAAACATACAGAACATGCTAAGACTCACTGACAATCAGGGAACAATTAGAAGTTCTTTTCCTCACAATAAAAAGGAGTTGACACTATTCATCAGTGATGAGATTTTGGGAAAGCACGTCTTCTGATTGGTGGTGATAGGAGTATATAGTGGTACAGTTATTTTGGAGGGAATTTAGAAATACTTATCAAAGTTTCAAGTAGGCATAATTCTTCCTTGGATCCAGCAATGCCACCACTAGAAATCTACCCTACAGAAATATAAGTACACAAAACATATCTGTACGAAGACATGCATTGAGCGATGTCTCTCCCCACTTCATGAGAGTGGGAAGTTTGCCTCTCACTCCTGTACTGTCAGTAGCTACATCGCTACTTGGACAGGGTGGATGCCCAGCAAGTATCTGTGGAATGAATGAATGGGACTGAAAATTGGAAATTAATTTTCTGTGACAAGGAAATGTTTATATCTACCCTATGGAGTACTATGAGCTTTTTTTAAAAATGACGTAAATCTTTGTGTGCCAAATTGGAAAGTCTCCAAGAACAACGAGGAAGTTTAAAAAAAAAGAAAAAGAATAATAGTAAAAAGTGAAAAATAACATAAACTCCATCATTAGAGAACTGATTTACTGGATTGTGACTTAAATAAATCTAATACGAAGCATCCATTTTGTCGTTGGCCTTTGATCTACATTTTTTGTTGTTGAAAGATATCCGTGATATCGCAGTTCCCAGAAATTTAGCATTTTCAGCACTTAGTATATGTCAGGATTATTCCTCACAATCTCTCTCTCTCTATGGCGGGTACTATCATTCAGTTTTATAGTCAAGAATGACACAGCACAGGGAAAGTGAATTCCCTGCCCAACGTTACATTGTGACAGAGACAAGATTAAAACCCCAGTGGTGTGGTTCCAGAGTTCCCTCTCTAAACCACACAGGAGAAATTACCATATATGTTCAGGTTTAAGCCTATGGACTCAGCCCAATTATTAATAGCATCCTCTTTCTTTTCACAATGTCTCCAGACAAGGACAATAGATGTTACAGTCACTGCCATAGCAGGGACTAAATTCAATCTATGGGGCCAATTTTGGGCAAGGTACTCAAACTCAGTACTTCAGTCTGTTCATATGGAAAAGAGGGTAGCAACAGTCTCTGCCTGGTATAGCTGTTAAGGATAAATGATTTGGTATTTTTCAGTGCCCGGCACACATATAGTACCATATTAACTACTAACCCATTGATCGTGTGCGGACATGTATTGTGAGATATCTGGATGTTCAAAGAATACCGACAGAAGATGGCCCCTATTAATATTTTAAACGTATGTACCTGCACACGTATGTATATGTTGAACATATATAAGGTGTCCCAAAATAATGTATACACACTTTGAATAATTATAAAGGCAGTGTTTACTGAAATACATTTCATTTTCAAAACGTAATGGAATCTACAATTGTGTGTGTATACAATTTTGGGGACACCCTGTATATGATACATATGTGTACACATGTGTGTGTGCTGAGTTGGGAGTGAGCATCCCGACAAAACATTAAAAGCCATGTGGTTTCTGCGTTGCACCCTGCTTGCCACATGGATGTCCTAACCAAAGATGATTGAACAACAAACATTTAAAAATGTCACATTAAGGTGAACATTTAAAAGATGGCTTTTATCATTAGCAATTCAGATAGGATATCTCTTGATTTCATTGGTACTAAGTGTCACGACCTGAAGGAAGCCCCCAACTTCTAGTTTCTCTCTCAAATAACTAGTTAATTATTTGTAAACAAAACTTAAGGGACCCTGGCTTCAACAATTTGCGATGAAGACCCGGGGTATCTGCACTGAGCGCAGGCTGGGAGGCAAGGAGGGGGGAGGGGGAGGGGGTGTCTCAGGCTCCCCTTCGGGCCGAAGGTGCCTGGGTGGTGCAATTACTCAATCTCAAACTCACGGCATGGAAGCACAACTCTCCCTGCCGCCCTCGGCAGCCTGAAAAGTAGCCTCTCACTTTCCAGCGTGTTCTACCCTGTGTACAACTTCAAACTTGTGTTCTCGGGCTGAAGCCAAGCAGTCAGGAAAGCGGTTCCCTTGGGAGAGAGGTTAGCGTTAGCTGGGAGCGGGCACGCGGACCCTGGGGCTTGGTCCCATAGCCTGATGTGGGTGGTGTCCCCAGGGCTCGAGCCGAATCGTCGAGCCGATTCCCTTTTCAGAGTAAATTATAGCTCAGTTTTCAGAGTCACTATTGTTCTGTTGTGTCCCGTCAGTGAGTTATCTATCCCATTCATTTCAGGACGCTCAAGAGAAAGCCGGTGCTGTTTTCTATTAATGAATGAAACTCATGTCAGAGGTCTGACCTTTCTGTGGCCACCCTGCCACTTCAAGCTCGCAGGTGTCATCTGCAACCTTCCCGGCATGTTCGGGCAGAGACGGGGCACCGACACCCCGTGCAAAGTGGAAAATACCCACAAACCCGACTCCATCCCGGAGTGCGTCTCTGGCGGTTTCCGTCCCTGCAGCGGGGCGGTGAGCGCCAGGGGGGGCTCTGGGCACCTCGCCCGGAGGGCGGTCCTCTCTGCCAAGTGTTCGCAGCTGAGCTGGCCGGCGCGCGCTCCTCCACACGCTCGGTGCCACCGCTCCCCATCCTGCAAGGGGCGCGCGAAGCCGCAAGCCGGGTGTCTGGCCCGCAGCACCGCCCAGCGGGCTCCCAGCTGACCCGGGACAGAGCCGCTTAGTTTCTGCAATCCGCACAGCTCCCCGGGCGCAGACCCAAGGCTCCCGCCGGGCGCAGACACCTCCGCGCGGGGCCCGGCCGTGCGCCACAGACGCCAACTCACCTCAGCTCGGGCCGGAGGACTTGAGTGTAGGTGTAGCATCGTCCCAGGACGATCTCGGGGAAATGGGGAGTGGTGCCCGGCCCATTCCACTCCTTGTGCTTGGGTGCCGGGTACCACTTCAGGACCACCGGGATGACCGTCGCCACGACCAGGACACATATAAAGATGCCGAGACCGACCTTGGCTTTCTTGGAGAGGTTGCAGCAGGGTTTCTCCCCCTCCTCGGGGCTGAATCCGTCGTTGGGCATGGGGTCCACTGCAGGGTCCGCCAGGCAAGTGGGAGGAGAGGCCCAGCCGACAGCCGGGCAGGAAGGGTGGAGAGAACTGCCCCTTTGGGCAACTGCACCTCCCCCTTTATCTTTCACTTGCCTTTTCTGGGCTTCTTTCCTACCCCCACCCCCTCCTTCAAAGTTTCCTGGCCGGCTGGCCCAATAAAGATTTAAAGGTCTTGAAAAGACTTTAACAAAAGGAGAGGCATCTAAGCTAGCAAAACCCCTTGTCAAGCAGAATCGGGAAACTGAGACCGCTGAACGAACTGGTCCAGCAATTTACAGTCAGACGCAGTCACCTCCCCGGAGATGACCTCTAAGGCCTCAGCTGTACGTCAGCTCCAGGCCCAGAAAAGCAGCAAAACCAGGTGGGTGACGCCAGGACCAGCTACAATGACCCCTGCCCTGGCGTTGACCAATCAGTAGAGACCATGACCTTTAAAGGGCACACCTGGAAAACAGATGAATATTCTGCTGAAGCCCTCCCCTGAGACCTCCTCTAGGATTCCTGCCTGCAAGAGAGAAATGCCCTCAAGACAAAGGACCGTCCCTGGAGTACCCCCATGACTCCCCCCCTTTCTTCCCCCACAGGCACACCTCTCCTCAACTCCAAGGGACCCCACAAGGCTTGCAACCAGGGGAGCAATGGGCAGTAGTAGCTTCTCCCTGGTTAACCCCCGGAATTTGTCTCCAACGCTCCCTTTTCTCTGACTTCCCAGTGAGCTAAAGTAGCCCTGCCTAGTCTCTCCCCTGTCGCTTCTTGTATGCTAAGCCTTTCCTTGTTTCACTGTCTCCGATTTGATAAATGTACCCTCATAATAAAAATAAAGTACGGGAGAGGCAGCCACCGTAAACTTACCCTGTAGATGCCTGCATAACACACTGTGTATCCTTGCACCTTTCAGCCAGGAACTTTGTCAGCCTGGAACTTTGCACTTTGGCTGCACTGCTTCTTGGGAAAGGTGAAGACTGGCTGGCTGGCTCTGTACCTTCGTAAACCAATACCTTTCACCTACAAAGCAATGCTCCACGTCTGTTTCTCAGTGTTGACAAATACTCGCTCAGCCCCTGTAAAGGCTTCACCTGACCCTTCGTCCTTCTCTCAGGTGGCATCCTGGTAAAGGCTGACATTCAGATGTAGCTCCCTCATGCTGTGCCCGGGCGAGGTGGGGTAAGTACTTGACCTCTCTTGTGCTTCACATAGTAGTACCCACTTCATGGGTCGTTATGAGAATTGAGTTCATATTTACAGCATGGCAGTGTAATGCCTGCTACATGGTAAGCATTCTGTAAATGTTTGCAATTCCTACTTGCTCTGTGAGCATGTGGAGGGGATGCCATTCTAGCATCCATGGGTTGTGCAGGCAGTGAGCATGCTAAGTGGTGGGTCAATAAACAACCAGGTGGTTTTTCCCAGACATCCCCTGCCTCTCCTCTTTCGGGGGTCCTTAGCACTGGGAACCCTAGACACAGGGGGTGTGGGTAGGAATTCCGCCACCTCACAGGGAGGTAGAGAGCATGGCTGAGGGGCTGGAAGATCAGTGGATTTGCGAGCAGTGACAACAGACCTCTTTTGATCTGTGTTTTTCAGTGAAATGAGAAGTCCCCTGCTGGGAGCAGGTGGGGCGCTGCGGAAGCTGCAGGAGCCTGGGAGAGCTGATGAAGTGAGAAATGAGAGAGGTTCCCGGGGTGGCACTGAGGAGTCAGGAAGTTAAAGAAACGCCAGATGTGCTGAAGTTCTAACCCCCAGGATGTGGTATGTGTTTGTTTAGCCACTCACCTCTGCTTAGATGAAAAGGCAAAAGTAGGCAGACAGTTGGTTTTTATGGGGGGTGGCTGGTGGGGGGTTGCCTGTGCATTAGTTGCCAGGGCTGCCATAACACCGCCACAGAGTCTGTTGTGGCTTAGTCAACAGGAATTTTCTGACCGAGTCCTGGAGGCTAAAAATCCGAGATCGAGATGTCAGCCGGGTTGATGTCCTCTCGGGCCTTTCTCCGTGCTGTGTTCTCACAGGGACTTCCCTCTGTGTGTCCACAGTCTGTGTTCCCATTGCCTCTTCTTCTGAGGACACCAGTTGTATTCGCTAGGGCCCCCTACAGACCTCATTTGATCACCTCTTTAAAGGTCCAATCTCCAAATCCCACCACATTCTGAGGTCCTGGGGGTTAGACCTTCACCAAATGAATTTAGGGGTGGGGATATCCTTCAGTCCATAACACCAGGTAAGAACAATGTAGTAAGAGACAGGTAAGAGGGTTGAAAGTTTAAGCAAAGATGGAATTTTAATAACGGAACATAACACCTAAGTCCTATAGAAACTGAAGTGAGGACAAGAGAAGGTGAGAGACAGCGAAAGATGAGGAAGCTCGTGGCTGGGAGGGCCAGATGGAGCCAAAGAATTGATGGAGGAGGGAATATCTCTCCATCCAAAACTGAACCGTTGATCTTTCTCCTTCAAACCAGATCTTTTCCAGGTCTTTCAAACTGCAGTAAAAGGAACCCCCAAACTCACAGATGATCAAGCTAGAAATTTCCAATCCTTTCTTCTTCCTCATCCCACGCATCTACCCAGAAGTTGGTTTCTTCTGCCTGACATTAATGATATTTGATATTTCATATTTAATGATAATGATATTTAATATTTATTAAATATCCACTTTACTCCCTCCACTGCCACCAGCTAGTCCAAGAGAAAGTCACCCTCTGGGCGGAGCCCACTTGGGCCTGAACTTTCTTTTATATTGAATAATGTAAAAGGTCCAAAACCAGTGAACCCGTAACGAACAAAGCTTGTCAGTTACTTCTTCCTGAGTTGAGCTACCCGATCTGAATAGTTTTCTGGCATGTAAAATGAAAATGTAAGACCTGCCACAGACGTTCTCCCCAAACCTGCTTTTTCCAGCCTCCTCTATCCATTCTCTCCACCTTAGCCAGGTGGCTTTCTTTTAAGTCATTCTTTGCAAAGATGTAACTTTTAAGATGTCACTCTGATTTCTCACCCCTCGACATGTTCTGGACACAGAAAGCAAACAGCTTAGCCCCGATGCCTCCTCCAGCCTCCATGGGCACCTCTCTCCCCAACCTCCAAGCCACTCTAATCCTGGGCCCCCTTCTCTGTCCCCAACCAACCCAAGCTCTTCCCTGGGGCTGGGCCTTCTCAGATGCCATTCCCACCACCACCCACTGTTGCTGATCCTCTGGGCTCCTTTACTGTGACTTCTCAGGAGGACTTTCTTGACCCCACAGGGCTCCCAGACTGGGTTAGTCTCCAAGCTGGACACTTTCTCGCTGAATATCACAGCTGCCAGTGGATTTCCTGGAACGATACAGATCCCAAAGGCTCTGGTCTGGACTGCGCAGCCCAGGAACGCATCCTCAGAGAGTTTCTTTGAGGTTCCTCTCCCAACATGACCAGCATTTTGCTCAGGGCTAGCTCAGCAGGAACTGCAGTTTAGTGTCTATCCTGGGACCCAGTTGGAGTGCACAAGTGCTTGTTGAAAGAATGAATGAATGAATGAATGAATGACCACCTAGTTTTCTTCCTGGCATCCACTGTTCCATGTTTTCGAAACTGGATTCGCAGGGCTTCTGCCACAATCCAAGATCTGAACAAAATAATATGGAAATGGGATGGAAAATGTTGTGCTTTCTTTGGGGTTCATCTCTGTGACCTCTGACCTTGCTGTATTCCCTACTTTCCTCTACCCCTTTGTCCTAAGCCTGAACTTTCTTCCATGTTGAATAGTGTGCAAGGTCCAACACGAGTTACTGTGCAACAAAGCTTTTTACCTGCTCCTTATTGTACTGAGCCACCTGATATCCATAGTTTTCTAGCTTGTAGAATGAAACATTTAAGATTTGCCATAAAAGCAACCTCTTTAAAAAGGGTATTTGTTTCCATTATCCAGCCAGAGTGCAAGGGGAGCTGGAATGCTCTGCCTCCGGGAAGATGCTGCAGAACCCTCCCGCCCGCCGGTTTATGACTCCTTCCGAGTCCATGGTATCAGCACCGTACAAAGTCCACTGGACTGCATTACAGTTATGTGCTTCAAGAATAACTCCCCCTCTGAACTCAGATCTTAAGGTGTATTCTATTTATAACTATGTCCCTAAATGTCTATCATAGGCCCTGAACTATAATAGGCCCTCAATAAATTTTATTAAAACTTAATAAATATAAAGACATAGAAGTAGGGTACAGACTGATAAACCTCAGAAGAGGGGGACAGGGGAAGGGAAGAGATAAACCACAGAACTTATACGTTTGTATGTGTAACCATGGACATAGACAACAATGCTGGGGGGGGCGGGGATCTGGAGGAGGGTGTCAATGGGAGAAAAGGAAGAAAACTCTGTAACAAAAATAAATTAATAAAAATTGCAAAAATATAAAATAGAATATATCAACAAATATTTTTAAACTCAAATAAATAAATAGGCAAAAAATAAAAAGGGTATTTGTTCTTGCTAATACACGTAATAAATATACATGGAGTAAAAGTCAAATAGAAGAAAGTGAACATGTGGTACATTGTTCTTTCTCCTGCCCTGGACTCTCCTCTTTTTTTTTTGTTTTTAAATCCTCACCCAAAGACATTTTTACATTTATCTTCAGACAGAGTGGGAGGGAGAAAGAGAGAGAGAAAGACATCGATGTGAGAGAGACACATCGATTGGTTGCCACCCACACAACCCACAACTCCAACCGGGGCCCCGGGACAAACCGCAGCCGAGGTATATATGGTGCCCTTGGCTGGAATTGAACCTGGGACACCCTGGTCCACAGACCAACGCTCTACCCTCTGAGCCAAAGTGGCCAGGGCTGGACTCCCCTCTTACCATACTAATGAACAGGCAGCCTTCACACATGTGCACTGAACAGAGAGATACGCCTTCATTGTTTTGTAGAAGTCATGGCATATTGCTCACCCTGTTGTGCACCTGGCTTCTTCACATAGTGATATATTTAGTAGACATTACTGTCAGCACATGTTACTTTACCTAATTTCTTAAATGACCCCTAGGTACTC